ACATAGATAAGAGCTAGAATTTAAAAAAAATCAGATGAGTCAGTCCCACAAATGCTACAGATATTATAATTTTCAGAAATAGAATTCAAAATATGTATGTGCATTTGAAGACATTTAGAAAAGGCATAAAACGTGGTGAAGGAAAATATTTAAAAACTAACCAAACATAAGCATAGAATTAAAATATGGGGCTGGGGATTTAGCTCAGCGGCATAAGCACCTACCTTGCAAGCAGGTGGTCGTGAGTTCGATCCCCGGTACCGATAAAAAAAAAAAAAAAAGGTAGAAATGTAAAAGGTAACATTAACAGAGAGACAAATGTAAAGAACAGGAAGATATCAAAGATATTTCCAGAATGTAGGTGAGCCGGGGCGGGCGGGGGGAGAGAACTATGAAAATGTGTTGAGACATAGAAAGAAAATACGTGTACAATCAGAACAGAAAAAAGAGAAAAGAATGGACTGCAGAGTGAGAACTGATGAAACTACCAATCTAGAGTCAAAAAATAAAGGAAATCAAGAAAGATGAAAAAATAATTTATACCACCATTCTTCATAGTGGAACTATAGAAAACCAAGAAAAAAAAAAAGAGAGAAAAATCTTAAACATAGATACAAAGGAAAAACAGATTATATTTCAAGATTACTTTCAAAATTGAAATTGTAACTAAGGAAGCCAGAGGACAGTATAATGATACTGAAAGGATGCAGAAGAAAATATTAGTATACTTAGAAACATATCAGTGGATGAGGCTTAGTAGTGCAGGTCTATCATCTCAGCTACTTGGTAGGCTGAGGCAGGAGGATACCAAGTTCAAGAGATCTCTAAAAAAAGCAAAACCAAAAAAAGAGCCCAGGATGTAGGTCCACTGAAAGCTCCATTTTCAATCCTTAGCCACACATATGCACACGAAAGAAAAAGAAATGTATGGATGAAAATATTTTTAAATAATGAGGGTGAAATGTACCTCCACTCAAACAGAAAATGAGGAAACATGCCACCAACTATAGCATATATTGTAGGCAAAAGTTAAGGGGTATTAGGTTTTCAGGTGGAAATAAGAAGAGCAAAATAAAGAACAATGATCTAGGTAAATTTAAACAAACACTGGAGATATTCCTCATTAAATGATCTACCCGTTTAATGAGTGTTCAGACTTAGGACTGAGGCATGCTGCTTGGATTTATGACAGCACTGGGACCTAGACCTATCTTTTTTTTTGATATATTTCTATAATCTTGATCACAGAGCTTCAAGTTTGTTTTGTTTTGTTTTGTTTTGTTTTTTTGGTACGGTGCTTCATGTTTATACAATACTGTAGTTTTTGCTTATTGGATTGTTCAGTACAGTACTGTGGTTTTATACATTACCATATTGCATGTAAGAGTCATGCAAATAAAAGGAAAATCATCAAGGTGGGGTTTCCTCTGACCATTTCTTTGTTCTAAATATTGTAATATACATAGTAGATACAATTTCTCATTTAGCAACAAATTCACTTAATGACCTAGTTGCAGGAATGGAACTCAGTCATTAAATGAGGAATCTCCATATAAAAGTTCATAATGCAGTTTTGAAAGAGGTTTTAAAGGTCCTCATATTGTTGGAAGAAGGTGGATACAATGGTGAACTCTGGATTTAATCAGTTAGAATTGTTTATTAGACATTGAAGATGGTGTCACATACCTTTAATTGCAGCACTCCAAAGGTTGAAGCAGGAGAAGCATCATTAGTTCAAGGCCTGTCCCTGCCTTGTAAGCAGGCAGTCGTGAGTTCGATCCCTGGTTCCGATAAAAACAAAAAAAAGACAAAAAAAAAAAAAAAAAAAAAAAAGAAGAAAAAGGGGCTGGGGATTTAGCTCAGCATCATAAGCACCTGCCTTGTAAGCAGGCAGTCGTGAGTTCGATCCCTGGTTCCGATAAAAACAAAAAAAAAAAAAGACAAAAAAAAAATAGTTCAAGGCCTGTCTGGGCTATATGTGAATTGAAGTCCAACTAGGAAAACATGACAATCTCATCTATAAACAAACAGAAGTCCTCAAAACCAAATAAGCAAAGACCAACAAAACAAATTGCCTATTAGCATTTTTTACCAAATGAATGGAGCACCTAATTTCCAAATCAGAAGGTTACTGGGAGAGAGGTGGCCAGAAATAAAAGCATAAAAAGCACAAGAAACAAAGGAGGAAGAAGAAACATATAGATCAGGAGAAACTAATGGGAAGCAAATAGATTCAAATTTCTCAGCAAACATAAGAGATGTAAATGGTCTAAAAGCTCAATCTAAGAGCCAAAGATAAACTAGAGTAAAATCCAAAATTGAAACTTGTTAGATCCAAAACAATGATTTGGAAAGATTATAAAAGGATGGAAAAAGAAAAACTAACATCATGTAAATACTATTCAGAAGACAACTGTTTAGCATTAAGACAAAATAATGTCACAACATAGTGATAAATGGCTCAATTCAACTAGTAAATATAAAAAAACTGCTATGTAAATTACATCATAACGTTAACCAAATAAGAAAAAAATGACAGAAGTTAACTTGAAATGGGCAAATTCATTCATATATTGGGATATTGTAATTTATCTCTCATTAATTAAATTGTGTGATACAGGTAAAAATTTATTTGTAGAATATGTTAATAACACACAATCCTACTTGGTCAAGAACAGTTTGTTAGAATACTATGCCCGTAAATGTCAGACTATGTTAGAATATTCTAATTTTTTTCCTTTTTTGGTACTGGGAATTGAACTCAGAATCTTACACTTGCCAGGTAGGTGCTGTGCCACTGACTATATCCCCAGCTTCTATTCTATTTTTTCTTGTGGGTCTGAGGATGGAACCTAAGGCCTCTGGATGCTACCTGAGTGTGGTGTCACAATCTATACCCATGGCCCCAGAATGTATTTTATGAAGCCACACATGAAAATTCAAATTCTCCAAATAGTAATAACTTATAGGCCATATTCTTATAGTTATGGAAAATGTTTTATCAGTCATCAAGTAGAAAATATTATTGCTGAAACATGATCCTGGGAAGATCATATACCAACTGGAAAGTTTGCCTTTTGTACACTTCTCTAATAGTCATATGATAATTCTATATTAAACGAGTATTACAAAATTATACCACCAGTTTCAATAGATGTACTATCAGGATAACAGTGTAGGGTTCTTTTCTTTGCAGAAGGGTTAATCATAATGAAAGGAGAAGCCCAAAAGATTCAGTAACTCTTGGAGCAGAAGTGGGTTTTACATAATTTACTTCAAGGCTTTGGAGTATGCTAACTTTTGGGGCAGAAAAAGCTTTACTTGGGGAAAAACAAATGTATGTGATGTGGTTGACACAACCATGAAACTGAAATTGATAGAATAATATCTCAAAAGAGCACACAAATCTATAGAATTTTAAAAATCACACTGTTCACTTGATATTGTAAGGAATAATTCTCATTTTACAAATGTGGGAACTGAGAAACTGAAGTTAAACATCTCACCCCAAGTCAAGTTATGACACCACACACTATGCTAAACTATAACTTCTTTTTTGTTTCTCACATATCCTGTCCTCATTCTTTAGTAGGAGGTACCTGGCTATGCAATGCGCCCTGTTCGGCTGATCAAATAACACCATTACCTGGCAAAAACATTTAAGATCATTGTAATTGAGCTTAACTTTAAGTTGTCCAATTCTAAGTTCTTTTTTTTAATTCCCAAGACTCCTAGTCTGACTTTTACATTTTGTGACTCATATCACATTCACATCACTCTGCTTTCCTCTCATCTTCTCACCTCCTCCATGAATACAAACTGACACAACCCCCATGTGGATGATAATCAGTGGAACCATGTTTCAAGGATGGTAGAGTGAAGGCCGCCCCCAGAAGAAATGTGTAACAAACAGTCCAACCCTGGGCAATCTTTTGAATGTCTTAAGACTTTTTCTTCATCTTTGTACATCTCCAATGAGAGACAACATTGTAGAGAATGAAGTAGTAGGAATAATAGATGGACTGATCTCAGGTCTGCTTTTACCATTGCTCACTGCTTAGCCTGGCCTCAGTTTTTTATCCATAACTCCGCTGTGGCAAGTTCTGGGAGGGCGTGCATAACCTTAACATATACCTTGGCGCTCTCTGAATTGCTCCAGAGTTCATTCTTCAAGGATACTGTCTCTCTGAGCTCCCCTGAACTCCTGTCTAGGGGGCCTGGCACCACGTGAACGTGGGGAAAGTTATCCTTGGTTGTGGGGCAGCCGCGGCTTAAGAATGTGTTTCCTATATGTGCAGGCACGCGGAGCCCTATCGTTTTGCTACTTGACAAGACTGTTTAGCAGGTGCACAAGTCGGAACATTCCTGAATCAGGAGGGGGCCGCTCTGGATGTCAGAGCTGGGTAACCAGGCCACAGCTGGAGTGAGGCAGAAGCCAGGAGGGAGAACTTCAGCCCTGGAGTGTGCAGTCTGAAAGAAACGTCCTCACATCCAAGGGTGTGAGATGTGGCCAACTCCGCAAGTCAAGGTACTTTCTCAAGTGCTTCACTCCGGAAGGCCCCAGTCCGGGCGTCCTGGAGTGTGGACTGGACCCAGAGAAGCGGCGGGGGACACGGGGGCACCTCGCGTGCCGCCCCAGTCGCGCGGCCGTGCCGGGCGGGCGCCGGTGCCGCCCCTCCGCGGCCGCAGGGGACGCGGGCCCCGCTCGGGTCGCCTCCGCCGGCCGCGCGGCCCAGGTGCAGCGGCCGGGCGCGTCCCCGCGGGCCCCTTCCCCCTCGCGGCGACTTCCTGGTTTGCAGAAGGTGCAGGAGTCGCTCTGGGCGGCACCGCTCGCGGGAGCTGAAGAGGCCTGCGCTTGGGTGGTGGCGGGGGCGGCGGCCGGGGTGGCGGAGACGAGGGCGGCCGCGCGCCGCGTGCTGCTGTCACAGAAAGGCTCGGGGTGGGGTGCGAGGGAGGCGGGCCCGCGCCGGGGGGCGCCGCGACATGGGCCGGCCGCCTCCGCGGCCCTGAGCAGCCTGCTTCCCGGCGGGGCGACCGGCGGCGGCGGCGGCGGGGGCGGCGCGACCCTCGGCGACGGCGGCGGTGGCGCGAGGCCGGCGCGCAGCGACATGTAACCATGGACTGCAGGACCAAGTGAGTGCGCGCGGCGGGAGGCGCGGGCGGCCCGCCTGGACCCCCGCCCGCGCCGGCCCCGCGCGGCCCCTGAGACCCGGCCTGGAGGGCGGGCGGCGCTAGGCCGCAAAGCCTGCCCGGCCCGCGTCCCCGTGCTGGCGGGGTCCGCGTCCCGGGCCGGGGGCCGCGGCTCCGGCGCCGCCGCTGCGGTTTCCGCCGCTCAGTGTGTCAGACGCGCCCGAGCTCCCGGCCGGGTCTGCCGCGGCCGCCCGAGGGCGGGAGGCGGCGAGGGAGGCGGCTGTTTTGTACCTGGAGTGCTCTCCAGCCGGAGGATACCCGCTGGTGTTTTCATGGGTATTTCCCAGCTGTGACAGGGATGTTTCTTCTCCCTTTATTCCTGCAGAATTAAAATGACCTCTGATGTTTGTTTATGGTATTTTAATGTGTGGGCTGAAGTATCTTCAGGAGATTAGGTAAAAAGCGATTTGAATAACCGTAGTGATTTTGCTTGTAGGCATCTTAGAGGCGTGCATTTTGTATTTTTCTTCTGAAAGTTACTTTGGAAAGAATTCCTTTTTTCTCTTATTCCCCACTTCTTCACCTGTACCCCCACATTTAATATCATAGGTGTATTTATAATACTGTGGAAGCATTTTGCAATATAGAACTGTAACTAAACCGGCATTGAACTTTAACACCGAAGAGAGATACTATTAGGAAAATGAGAAAAATATGTAATTCAGAGTTATTTTCTTCTGTGTTTCACATTATAGTGGGCACAATGAATGAAAAAGGATACTTCACTTGCATTATGAGGGAAGAAGTCACCTGAGCCCACATTATTTCTAGTAAAGCAAGGCAGTGACAGCAGGGCAGAGCAAATGCACGGTAATTTACATGGCTTGTCATTTCCATCTGATTTTAGAGGCACGTCTTGTAGTACATTTTAAAAAAAACTTTAAGTAGAAGTCAGAGCTAGCATTAATTTCTTGAAAGATGCAGATACGTAAACAAAATCACCAATGTACAAGGACACTGAGGTCTTACTTAGCAGGGATATAGAGTACCTGAAATAAGTATTTGAGCACTTGGGCACTGTGGGGTCAGGCCACTTGTATCTTCTAGTAGAAAGACAGATTAAAACAGAACTGTCTTGAAAAGGTTTTAAATGGCTTTCAGCTCACTTTTTGAAATTCAGCCAATGTGTGATTGTGTGAGAAGTTAGCAAAAATCGTGACTTTGATTGAAGAAGCAAAAGAACCTTATTGTTACTAGTGGGAAAATGTAATACAAAAGCAAATGTCTAATTTGCCCAAAAATGTTGATGTTAAGCAAATCTTTTTTGCTAGCCTTGAGGTTTAAGTTGTTACTAAAATATGTTTAGGTGCAGTAAATAGATCTCAAGAAAACCATGCGAAACTATGCGTTCATGCCAAATATAAATGTTAGTGATCCAAGAGCTGGCAGGTGAAACTACGTATTCAATTATTTACCTTTATTGCAAGTCTTATGAGGAAGGCTTGAATGTGTGTTTTAGGCTGTGATAGGGTAGAAAGGCACTTAGGGATGTACTAGCTTTCCTATTTTAATTCACTGAGATAAAAGCAATGTTTGCATTTCTGCTACACTTAATATTTTATAAAAATACTTGGACATATATTATTTGAGTTGTAATCCTCATAATTATTCTGCACAGTGGGTAGAATACACTTTATAGAAAGCACAGCTTCACAAGTTAAATGCTTTGCTTTAACTCTTAAGTTCAGGTCCTTTAAATTGCTTGCCTGATAAAACATTTTCATTGTTATTTCTTCTGCACTGTAGTCAGTTACATGGAATGTATTGAGAAAAGAACATTAATTTTAGAATTAAGAAATTCTAAATAAGGGCTGGAGATATGGCTCAGTAGTAGAGTACTTGCCTAGTATGCACAAGTCCGTGAGTTTCATCCCCAGTTCTTCGAGAAACGATAACAATAAACCATGTATTACTTATTGGTAAGCTTTGTAAAGATGCTTGTTATAGGAAATAAGTGTAACCAAGGTTTTTTTTTATTTTAGAGAAAATCCAGAAAGAACCTTTGACTTGGTGTTGAAAGTGAAATGTCATGCCTCTGAAAAAGAAGGTATGTGTGATCTTTGGATTCTAAAACACATTGATGGAGTTTATCAAACAACTATTAATATTGCAGATGGCTGAAATGTGATAGTATCAGGAAAATGATAGTCCTGACAGTGTATTCTGTAGAGAGTGTCTCAAGTTTCTAGTAATGAAATACTCGCTAGGACTTTGCCCTGGGGTTGTAGAAATCCATGAATGTTATCTGTACAGCTTGAATTTCAAGTGAGTGTTAAACCTGAATAACTTACAACTCAGTTTTCTTCTTTGTTGAAGTTGTCATTAGTTATGGTGAAATGGTGTGTCTTTTCACTGGCTTTAATTTGATCTTGAGAATTTAGCTCCCTTTTTAAAACATTCATGTAAATTCTCTGCCAGTACCAATGGTATTTTGACCAGTTCTCTTCTAATGTTTCTGGAATGCAGAATAAAAACTGATTGACCCTTCCTATTGGACGTACTCCAGTGGTGTAGCACTTTCATGTGACATTAGTGTGAAGTAATAGTCACCTGGAATAGTTTCAGCTGCCAGTTCTATACAATTTTCTGAAAAGTCAAGAATACTTTAGTATTGCAACTTTTGTCTGCCCTACCCCGTTTTATATTGTATGTTATGTATGTTTTATGTTGGAGTGAAGAATAATTCTTTAACGTGTCCCCCGTATGATGTGTCCTCATGGATATCTCTCATGTATTGACTTTATTTACAGTGTTCTCAGACCATAGATAGCATGGTGATTAACTGTGGGATTCTGCGGAGACTACCAGTTGACTGTCCTAAAGACTTGAGGGAAAGTCTGCTGACACTGTTAGCTCTAAAACCTAGCTAGCAATTATATATTCTGAAGTAATTTGGAGTTGAACACCTTAAAATAGAGGAGCCCAGCCCAGTTGTGGTGAAATGGGCTTGGCTAATTTTAGGTAGGAAGTCACACACATTCCTGTCTCTACCAGCTCTGCCTGCTGTACTTCTGGTTTGTTTGAACTACAGATGTGATCAGGTTTGTCTGCTGGCAAGGAGTTAATCATCTTAAGCCTCCTTCAGGGTCCTCCTCCCCTTAAAAAGATTGGCTTTGTTGTATGGTAAAGTTTGTCCATTTGCCTTGTTCCTAAGCCCAATCAAATCCTCTTTACAGAATGGATACATTATGCAGAATATACTCAAATGGATGTATTGTTTTTCAGCTCCCATTTAAATCTATAGTATACTTATGGTATGGACTGATCTTAAAAAATTCTGATGGATTTGTAAAGCAGGCTAATATCATTTGGAAAATATGGATTCTATAATTTTAAATGGATCATTTTTGAATCATGAAGTAATCTTGATAAAAGTATCAATCTGCCTTATAGACCCAGTGATCTATGCATTTGTCACAGAGACTGTGACCGTCTTATAAAGATATTTGAAACTTTTGCTTTATTTCTTTCCTGTGCCCTTTATCACTTTTCATTCTAATATTTTATCCTGGTATGAATCTTCTTTTTCTGATTTTTGCTGTTGTTATTATTAAATAATTACTCTTTAGAAACATCTTCATTCATGTTTTAATAGTTTACCTACTCTGGTAAAGTTGAGAATGTAAGAAATGGGTAAAATAAACAATTTTGGCTTCTCTGTATGGTACAGTTTTAATACATTCTATGTGGCTGACTGGCAGTAAATTCTAAAGATTTTTTTTAAACAACTAAATTCAACCGTGTTGAATTTAGCCTTTCTTCTAAAACGTTAGCCTTTCTTCTTTTGATTGAGACTTAATGTGAATATAATGATTGTTTTAGGGCCTAACAATTTATATATTTTTGTGCTATAAAAAGTAGTAATATCTGTAACTTAGAGGGCTGTAAAAGTAAAATTTTATATCAAATGGAGAGTATAATGTTTTTGTAATATTTTACGAACTTCTTTATTGCTAAATATTAAAAGGAAGATACATTGAAATTATTTAAAAATTTTTGAGTATTCCAGTTTAACTGTCGATAACTGTTTTAATGCGACCGATATGCATATATTGGCTTGTTTACAGTTAGAGATGTTTTTGCTGACATTTAAATGAGCATGGATGAAATTCTTGCACAGTAACAGTCTTTGAAAACAAAATATCAATTAGAATGCTTTAGGATACAAAATATAAAGCTGATTTAAATACCAGGGAATCTCGGTAGTTCATAGAAGCAGCAGCCCAGAGGTGGCTCATCAGTGATCTAGGTTCTTTCTACATCTTAGCTCTGCCACCCACAAAATTGTGTCATTAATAGATATAGACTCCTTATAGTCATGACAGTAGATGTTGGAAATCTGCTTTCTTTTTTAGGGCTATCCAGGTGACAGACACTAGCTTTTCATGGTTCTGTCTTTAGGAAATTTCCTTCTGAAAATCCCCCAGAAAACCTCCTAGATGTCTGTAGCCTGAGTTGTCATAGTCATGACCATTCCTAACATGGCATGATTGTGGCAAGAATGGCATGATTGAATTCCTAAACAATTGGCAAGGGATAGACGTTGAGAAGTCAATTAAAATTAAAAAATTTCTCATAGCATTTATTTTTAGATGATTTTGATCAAATAAGAAATGTGCTCAGGCTAAACTTGATTTATACCTTTTCAATCTCTTGTTCATTTTTGTTATTTGTTGTTTAATGGAAAAATTATAATTCTGTCATTTATCCTGGATAACTATCTCTGGAGATAACATTATTAACTATGTTTTAGTTAGTAGTTTGACGTAGTTAGCTATGGTAAAATGATGATCTTTCGCTGTTTGGACTTGTTTTAAATTGATATTTCTGAGCATAGTACATTTTTAGAACACTCTGGAATATAAGTTAGTTTCGTAGGTAGTATTGCACAAATCGTAAGGTTTCTATGAGGGGAATTGGCCATGTCTCTCTGTAATGTCCCTGTGTTAGTGGAACTGCTTCTGTGGCATCTTTTAGTGGAAGTTACCCTGGCAAGACAACATCCCAATAACTTGGGCTCTGGCTATCCAGAGGGAAGTGTCAAGCTGTGGGTGTTAGTGCTCTTTGTGGTGGGTCTCTAGGCTGTAGATTTTCCATTTGCTGTTTCTTTTTTTCTGGCAGACAGGGAAGTGCAGCCCAGCATGACCTGTTCTCAATTCTAATGACAGAACTTACTGTTACCACACTGCATTGCTTTCCCCAAAGTGACTCAAGACTTTAGGGAAATGAAAAGTAACCTTTCCTCAAAAAGAATGGAGATACTTTCAGGGTTTGTGTTTAGGCTGTCTTGGTACTTCAACTTTTTCTTTTTTATTTTGTTGTTACCTGGCACAAGTAGTAGTAACAGTAGCAACTGAGACAGGTAAAATCTGTGATTTTTTGTGTACTAGACCTGTAAATCTCAACAAAACTTTATAGGAAATATTTAACTGAAGCACAGAGAAATTAAGAATATTGTTTGAAGTAGTGTCTCCACAAGCTGTATTTTAATCACAGTACCTCTCATTGCATAGTGACTTGACATAAACTTCTGTTTTATCTTGTGAGAGAATATTAGAGTATAAACTTCTGTTTTACCTTGTGAGAGAATATTAGAGTATAAACTATATATGGAGCAGTTAATATTTAAAAACAGTAATGTAGAATGTTATTTAATGTTAATGAACTACATATATTGCACCTATATCCGTTACAGAAGTTTTTATGGTTATGAACCCTAACTCAGCAGAGTAGACCCTACTCTTTTTTTATAGAATTTATGTCTGCTATATTTAATGAATCCTTGGTTTGTCACTTGTATTAATTTTATTAATTAATATTTTTATATTAGTAGTTTTAAATATACTCTTAGAAAATCTTGTTTTCTTTATTTCTTTCTCTTAGAATAATTTCTTTTGGATACAAATCTCTGTTTGTAACAGACTTACCACTTTGTTTAAGTCACCCATTTTGGTGTCATATTATCCATCTTTTTTTTTTTTTCTAAATCTTCAGCTCACGTTAGCAGTTTATGGACTTTTTACTCTTTTCTTAAATAAAGACTTTAAGGCAAAGAATTCTTGGTATCAAAAGATATTTCTAAGGCTGCCTTTGCATTTGATAACATTTTTGCTGTAGTGATATTTGCAGAAGAATAAAAACCACTTTGCTTCTGCTTATATTTTAGCACCTAGTATGTTCTGGCAAATATGTCTGATTTAGTCATATATAGTCATACAGATAGCATAACTAAATGTGTGTGTGTGTGTGTGTGTGTGTGTGTGTGTGTGTGATGACTCAATGTATATAGATGGTATCACTAGATATATAAATGTCTGCCCTGCTTATAAAATCTGCATGTGCCATATTAATTCATACCCTTAAGAAAAAGCTTACCACAGCATCTGACAAATTTAATTAATATTGAAAGAATGACAAAGAAAAAGAAATTGGACATACCTTATTGCTGGCCATTGAATTATCAAATGCTGATTAAGCTAATTCACAGAGCTGCTTGTAGAGGTGATCTTAAAGGCGTGCTGGCATGATAGGAGGAGAGGCATTAGAAATATGTAAGGGATGATTGAAAAACTTAAATGAATGCTGAAATTTTAAAAAATTATTACTATAAAAGATACATTGCCCTTAATACTGCTCAAAATATTCTCCTTTGCTTTGTGTACACTTATCCTGTTGTTCTTGCCACTCTGAAACAGTTCTGGAAGTCCTCTTTTGTGAGGTTTTAGTTGTGCTGTCATAACTGCCTCAGTATCCTGAATGGATTCAGAATGTTTAACTTTCATGGTCATTTTGACTTTGAGGAAGAGTCAGAAATCTCATGGTCCTAGACCTGGTGAAAAAGTGGATGACACACCGTAATGGTTTTATGAACTTGCTTTTCCATTGGATGCACTTAGCAGCATTTCCTGAATTTTTTATGACAACTAGTAAAATGATTTCTAGGTCTGTTTCAAAAAGTAGCAAGAATGATGGTTTAAGTATGTTTGAAGAGAGGGGAAGTGTTTTGAGGGGATTAATGATAATATATCTTTTGCTGTATTGAATTTA